AGCTTTGAGAACTTTCATGACTTCTAACAAAGAACTTGTTCTGTTTATCGAAGTGCTCGTATTAACAGATTTGTCTTTTAAATTGCTCTATGGACATAATTCATCTATTTTTCGAAAATTGTTCCGTATTTTGCTTGAAACATAAAATAGAGAAGCTCAACTAATATAATATATTACTCACAATTTGAAACGATATTTTCTGCAGATTACATGGCAGACATAATTCGTGGCTTCATAATAAATTGGAGATGAAATACCTCCCGGTTGTTACAACGCCCTTTGCCTAAACCAATTGTAATTAGCACTAACTTCCGCGAGATTAAAATTCCTTCGCGAATCAGTGAAGCGCCGTAAAATCGCCTGTAAACGCTGATTTTATCAGCGATCGCGCAGTGTCGGGCCGTAATGACCGCGATAACCGATTATGGCTCTAAATTATGAAGCAAGTTTTAAATCGACCCGCCTTCATTGGCAAATGCGATTAATTAACAAAGAAGCCGCCCGCTTATTAATTATTCGACTCTCTTGTGTCTGTAGCTGCACGCGTACGCAAATGAGACCGTCATTCGGGTCATCGAAACGCAGCGAGAGACAAATGCCTCGTTGAAATATGTAAGCGAGAATCTGTTTCGGTTAATGCGTCTGTCCTTCCCTCTTGCTTCCTAATGCGTTTAGTTGACGAAAAACGTAACAAATTGCCGGCACCGTGAGCGCTGTCGACTCCGTAAGAAAGCCCCATTTCTGGCATTGACAGCTGGATAATGTTGCCAAGCCTCTCGTGGCGAGGCATTACGTCGCTCGAGTCGGTAGTCGTCGTGTCTGTGTCCCGCGCGCTAGTACTTGAATTGGTAATTTCAGCACGCGTCATTACGCACAGGGCCACCATCACGGTATTCTGTCTGCGACAAGACCAGACATATTTCTAACGGTGACAAAATACAAAGTTTAAACTTTCGATATAGCGAGACACATTGCAAAGTACGTTCGCGTCGTTCGGCTGTTAAGCAGCCGCGTTTTTTAATTAAACTTTTCGCCCCCTTCCAGCTCTCGTTGCAATTTCTAACGCACGAACCCCCCGTCAACGCGAACCGTGAACGCGTTATTTCGGGAATGTTATTACGGCAGACTGAAACGTAATAAACGCAGCGCGCCCCCGAGTTCTAAAATCGTCCACAATTATGTCAGGAACTTTATCCCGCGTGCGACTTTCGCGACGACGTGATTTCCCTCGCGATATAGTCGCGTTCGACTGGTGAGCGCGCGAGGCGCCTGGGGAGGGACTCGATGCGGTACTTTAAAAGTACGTGGCACTCGAGCTACACCAACTACCATGGTACGCCGCGATTCGCTATCGTTTCGTCTAAAGTGTCTCGCGATATCGATGAGAGAACGCGCCGCGCGGAACATTGCTGCATTGCGGTCTCGGGGAAGAAATTGCGCTCCGCGAAATCCAATAGGTTTCGGATCGAATCGGTACTTGCAGCCGTCCCGAGGAGAGCTCTACCTCCTCGACCTGGTCGCGCGGCTAAACGAGGCTAAACGTAATCCGCGACGGCACGTGTTCGGTGGGGGTGCTCGCCGGCGAGCAACCGTGCGCGCTCACGCTGTCCGGATTCCACCGTCGCCGTCCACTCTGTGTGGCGCGATTCTTTTTATTTCGCCCCCGGAGACTCAAAGGCAAAAGCTATTAACATCGTGACTTTTCTTTCGTTCAACGGCCAGAACTCATTACCACGTCGTATAAGAGTTCCGACAGTTTTCGAGGTAAAGTTGGATTAGAGGTTGGCAGCTCGTTAGCCGACCTTATCGATCGTCTCTCCTGGATACCATTGTGCACGGCGTATTAATTAAAAAATGAAAATCCAGAGCCCGTCCAACACACGAGGAGAGTTCTGTAATCCCCAAGTTCCGTATCCTCTCTCGCGCACTCCTCTCTGGCGCCCCCCCCCCCTCCCCCTCTTTCTCTTTCGGTCGGAAACGGCCGCGAAGTTAAATTACACTGGATCGCTTATCGATTTTCAATTTACTCTCGGGTATTAATAATTCAATGAACTCTGGAATACTACTTAAACTAAGCTAGGGAAGTCTCAATGGGTTAGCAATAGTTTATCTTTTCATACCTCTTTCGTAGTCAAGAGCATAAATTATGGTCCGCTGCGAAAAATGTAACGGACGTTGCGAGTCCGATCGATAGGGCATTCCGAATGATTGTCCAGAGTCGGGTACGCGTGTACAGAAACAACTGGCAGCACACGGTCGCATTCAACATAGCTGTCGACAACCGTGAGAAGCAGCATATGCGGTCTTACCGAATCATTATCGATGACGGCTCTAATCAAGCGTGAACAAGGGCGCAGCTCGCGCCGCGTTCGAATTACCAACAAATGCGTGTTACAGACAGGTGAGAATGTCGAGGTGACATCTCACGATCACTCTGGTCCGCCAATTTATCGAAAGAAAGACTAATGGTCGCCGGAGGGTGACGCTTGGCGAAGTCTTGGGCGGGATGGAGAGAAAAAAAGGGGGAGGAGAGTGGGAGAGAAAGAGAGCGCGAGGGAAGACGGAGAGCGAGGAAGGGCAATGACAGATACCAGCGTCGGAACCGATCGATCTGGAACGAAATAAAATATGCTCGCGAGAGCACGGGCGTAATTACGAGCGCCGAAGAAAAATACAGCGCGCCATTACCGGAGGGTTAAGTGAACCTGCCCTGATCGGCTTGTACGGAAAGGAGAAAAAGAGAAGGACGGATAGGGGAAGGGGGTCAGCAGTGGGATACCGAGGAGGAAGCGAGATAGGGGGAGGGAACGAGACTGAGATAGACGGAGCGAGGTGAAGCCGGAGGAGAAGTATTACTCAGATAACTGAGACGTGGAACGAATGAACGGAGGGTACTTCGGGACGGGTAGGAACGAGTCGTAGGAGGTTGAGGAGTCGGACGAGGCGACGGGGAGCGCTCGCTCTCGCGGGGACCAAGGGTGGAAAGTACGGTTTGCGTGCTCGGGCGCAAGTTCGCCGTGGCTTCCGGTTGTTCGCATGCTACAAGTCCACTTGTATTAGGCCCGCCGTACGAATACGCCGCACGCCCGCCCGCGGTTCGGATGTAGTCAGTCAGTGGCACACGAACGCACGCGAAACTTACACATACACACGTATTCCCCCCCCCCCCCTCTCTCTCTCTCTCTCTCTCTCTTTCGGGCATTTACGATCGAACGCACGAAAGCTGTTTCGGCCAGAACTCACCCCCGACGCGGAAGCTAATCGCCGGTTGAATTAATTCCAGAACTGAGAATGGCTTCTGCCGACACGCCGGCGTTTCACTATCTGGAAATGGAAAGATATCGGACTATCGAGTGCGACTAATGACCGCCGGAAATGCTAGACAAAGCGCGTGCACACAAACGCGATTTCGATTGTGGTTCAGCGCGAGTACGTAAAAGGTTCGAGGTCGTGCGTTTTGCTAAATTCATGTGACCCGGTCGACCCTGGGGCTCGAAGGTGAACTCTGATGTGGTTAGGGAAACTACCGTGGACTAGATACAATCGGTCGTTACAACTTTCGCGGGAGAAGGCATATAAAAGCCATTACACGCGGGCTAGATAATTTCTATTATTACGAGAGTCGTGCTGAAGATAATAGAAAGTTGGCTTGATATATGTCGAATAACTATCTTAAGCCCACTTTAGATGATCTATTTGCGTTAGATTTTATAGAATTTTATACGAATTCTCTTTTCATAATTTTATACACGGTGCATTTGAATATATTTTATACATGTGTGTACTCTGATTCTTCTAGAGAAATTTTTGCATTTTAACATAAAATTAGACAGCACACAGAATAAAATTCTATTCTGGATTCTGTTAGAAATTAAATATTGTTTGAAGTAGATTTTACACGTTATTCGAAATTAAGAGAGAGAGAGAAGATACACATATTTTAATTTTTAACATAAAAGAATGTTTCCATGTACGATTCAACATTTCTTTTGTAATAAGCGCGCTTCAAAAGCTATTCAAAAACACGCGTATTTTCTCTGTTCCTTAATTATAACGCACAATATTTCATTCGCGCGACAGATTCAGCCTCACGTTTCAATTAAAAACCCCTGCTGATACGAGCCAAGCTCCATCCGAACGGCAGTCAGAAATCAATGAAAAATTTTCAGGATTAATTTCGAGGAAAATGATGAAAACACCGTGTCCGCAACGCGCGTTGAATCAAAGTACTTTTTTGTGATTCCATATGGGGGGGTAGTTAAGTTAAATAATGAATGAGGATTGGCTAGCTGAGCCGGTCTGCTGGGGGTTCGGCTCGGTATACCGAGTCGCTTTGATGTCTGGCGGCAGCCGCCGATTATGGAATCAATTATTGCGCGGTACTCCCTCCTGCGTCCTCTCTAGCCTTTTCAATCCACTCACGCACTCGTGGCTTCGGGCTTTCGCCCGCTTTCTGCTCTCTTTATCTTTCCTCTCTCCCTCGCTCTCTCTATCTCTATCCCGCTTCCGTGACGGATGCGAAGGGAAAGATTTATTCCGTATAAGAAGAAATTGCACGAACAGCATCACGAAGGACCGATTCCGCGGAAGGTCAGCCGAGTCCAGGCTCAGGTCCACCAGTGTACATGAGGATACCGCTATTATCGTTCCATAATCTACGTCAATTACCCTCGACGACGGGGTAGCAGTACCGCGGAAATAGAACTTTAACTATCAGTACGTGCTTATTTCTCTCGCGGTAACATTCTGAATCAATTATAACGAAATAAACCGCGCGATTTTGATAGAAACCTGACCTACAATTTATATCATCGCTAAAATAAAAAAGTCATTTCGCTATTTGCAAATTAAAATAGTTTTCTACTGTCTTTTTTTTACTATTTTTATATATGCAATTATCTCGATTAATACAAAATTTATTGCAATTTGTGTAATTTATCAATCTAAATTCTATAATTGAAACGGTTGGGAGTATTAATTAAGGAATATATCAAAACGAGTTCTAAAAATCTGTAATTTAATTTAACTTGTATATATCACAAGTCAAGTACAAAAGATTACATAGAATAACGTAGATGAATTAAGCGTACCTGTTCTAGAAATATGTGTTTCTTACTTTATACGTTCTCTTCTCGGGGTCTGTAATGGAATTTAGAGGATTAGTCAATGTCGACGACATACATGCAAGTTAAAGTATGTATTAAAATATGCAAAAAGAGGTTTACACCGCTGTTGCACGTTGCCTGCCAGTTGTGCGTGCGCTTTTTTCCCATCAATTAGAAAAAAATAGATGGTTACCTCAAAGTATTTTGTACCGATTAGAAAAGTAAATTTACAAGACTTCGACTTTAATCGATTATAAATAATTTGGAAAAAAAAATATTGCTTACTAACATTGACTCTTATTTTTTTTGCTCTCTTTGATGGAAATCACGTAGCGTTGCGGCACATTCAGCGGCGGTGAATAGCCGGTCGTGTAGGCGGCGTCCTCGAACAGGACCAGGTACTCTTCCGTGGCGGTAGTTGGTAGACGCTGCACGACCGCTTTGTAGAAGCAAGTAGTTTGCGGGTAGAGCGCCATTACCGTAGATCCCTTCGGGAACAAGGCGTACGGATCGGTCTCGGGATTGGCCCTCATCAATGGCAACGGCACCACTCGCTTCCGCGACAACGTGTGACGGTCCTTCTGCTCCTCGTCGATGTCGTCCACCTCGTAGTTGTTTGTCGCAGGATTAAATTGCACGACCTCCGCGAGTATCCAGTTCTCCCCTTCCTCGTTGCTCTTCACCAAGGCGGCCACCATATCGCCGGTCTTCGCGATGTACGTAGGCTCGGCGGGTATCGCGCCGCACAATGGTGGCAGTTTAGCGCCCGATGTCTTTCCCACGTAGAGGGGCAGGGTCTGCGCGGTGCTGAGTACCATTTTCATCAGCGCGCCACGCCTGATGGTCTCCTTGTTGCCGCCCTGACGTGCCTGTATGCGCAGTTTATTTCGTATCGTGCGTATCTCGTTGATCTTACCGAGAGCCTTGCGCAGGATCTCCTCTTCCTGCTGCGTGTCGGTCACCGCGGCGTTGTATAAATTCTTCAACTTCTGCTGGTAGTAAGGGGAAACTTTGTCGTCCGGCGTCACCTTCTCGTGGGTCTTCATGATGTTGTTTAGGTTGTGTTCCGAGCGAACCCGCTGATTCTCGATCTCGTGCACCAGATTATAAATATTCTTCAGGCGCTCTTGTATCTGAGTCGCCGCCGCGTCCGCCGTGAACGGCATCGCGTAGAGAGATTTTTTAAGTGCGAGGAGATCGTGCGACGCAAATGCGATAAATAGTAATCGGACGGATTATGCTATCGATCGCTTCTCTGCAATAAGAATAAAACGCGCGTTTTACGAACGTCCCCTTAACGCCCTCTTCTACTATCGATTTGGAACCAATTCAAGTATCAATTTAAATCATTTTACAGTTTATCAATTTAAACAATTTTTAATTAACCTGTCAATTCAATATTGAATATCGCAATATTTAAAAAAAAGCTTAAACTAAGGGAATGCTGGACTGAGTAGTTGCACTTTTTGTACCTAGAGCTGTTAGTTCATGGAAACATTTGTGTAATACACAAATTGTATAGTCCATGTGTATAAATCGAAAGATATTCGCATTATTTATATATACATATATATATAATTTATTCGTGATTGTCGCCCTCAATTGCTCACACTTATTATTGGCCTTACTTTGTGGTATTTGTTATTGCATGAAACGAGCGTCTCTTATTATTTTTAATTTAAATCGAAAGAATTCCTGTGTTCGCACTAAATCAGAGAACATGGTATCATTGAAACCAAGTTTAAAAGTTTAATAGAAGTCTTTAATGTAATGAACGGGTTAAACTAAAGATGTATATAATTTGTGTATTACACAAATTTTTCCATCAACTGACAGATGCAAAAGGTGTAATGGCTCATTCAGACTGGACGCGATGAGCGATGAGTGACGCGCGATATCCAATGAGCGTGCAGTCTACAGGAAAACTGTACGCTCATTGGATACTCGCGCGTCGCTCATCGCTCATCGCGTCCAGTCTGAATGGGCCATAAAGGCCAATCTACAATTGCGTAAACGTGGTTGTTATCAGTGTTGTAAAACACAGTTTTAAACTAGCATTTCCGATTGTAAAGCCTGTTGTAAAAGATGGCTGAACGTCATCTTTCACGACTACAACGATGTAGGACGTAAAAGCTAACAAATCATTCACTTCAATTACGACGTATCTTACTCTATTGTATATTACTTTAATGTACAACACTTACTACTACTTCTACTCCTACAACCCTACAAATACGTTCACGCAATTGTAGAATGGCCCTAAAGCGGGGTCTACATTGTCTACAATGAGAGTCGCAGTCGTAAGAATAATCGACTGCAATTGGTCAATTCAGTCAGACACATAAGAATTAACCAATCATAGTCGACTATTCTTACGATTACGACTTTACGACTCTAAGGGCCAGTTTCACAAACGTCGTTTAACCGCTAACCCATGGTTAATTGATCCTCTGTCTCTTCTTGGATAACAAGATGACTTTAGCATCCTCAGTTAACCGACGTTTGTGAAACTGGACCTACGTAGATGAGGCTTAACTCGGTGCAGCATCCCTTTAAAAATTGACGGTCTCGTGTTCCTCGAGAATGACATGCTTCGAGATTTTATTTGTGCCACGTGAATATAGTAGAGTCACTATATGTATAAATGTAATTAGCAGTTCAACATTTCGTCAAAAACCCACCGCTCGGCTCGATGCTACCGCGCGGCATGCAAACGTCAATAAATTTCCAGAATTCAAGTTGAGCGAATTGTGCGCGAGTCCGGTCGACAGCGCTCGTGCTAAAATGGCCGAGTGTCGGCGCGACATGAATGGATCGATATACGCTTACCCGGTCGGGAACTGACTCGTATCCGACTGGACGACTACACCCGACGAGTCTCTCCGGAGAACGAGGTTTCGGTCAGACGTTTCAGGACACCGGTAGCTCCACTCAGGGCTTCCTGGCACGAAGCTGCGACGAGCACAGAGCGACGCGAGATGCTCCTCGCTCGATCGTTGACGCGCATCTGCGCCGCACCGCTTCTCCCACCACCTTCTGGTCACAGCTGATCGTCGGTGTTCTGTCAAGGCGATGCTGCCACCTCGTGGCGAGCTCTGTAAACGACGTACCAGTAATAGTACTGACTGTCACAGAGCTGGAGGCACTGGTAAACCTATCGCGTACTTTAGCTATTTTGGAACTACTTGACAAATTTATCAATTGTCGAGGTGCAAAATATTTTTCACCTTAGCGAACTACATTAATATGTTGATTATATTATATCGTGTAAAAAAAAATTATTGATTGTTTTCCCATCAAGCGTTGTACTGAATAACGTTGGGAAATTGATAGGTATTTTTTTAAAAGGGAATTGAAAACTCGCTGATATTTTGTTTTGGCAAACATGACAATTCTTTTGCATCGATTTAATATGAGGTGAGTTATTTGATATCAGAATTTACATAAGCGTATTGGAGAAAATAATCTAACGGGTGCGGATAAATATTTGAGCGTCTATACGTGCACGAGGATACATATTAATTCTGTTATATAAATTATCGAATTATCAGACTTTCTCGTTATAATTCGATCGTAACTTTCTCTCACTTTCTATTTATTACAAAAGTATCTTTAGACACTTTAGACTTAATAAATCTGTCTAAATAAATCACCGTAATACATTTATCTAAATATATTTCCAGACAGAAGTTGTGAAAAGCAAGTATTCTTGAGTGTGTCGGACAAAATGTAAATTTCGTGTATCGATTTAAACATTCGGCATAAGTTCCAAATCTTTTTCTTATCTTAAAATGGGAGAAGGCTTCCATAATAAGAAATAACGGCCATAATTAAATTAACGGCTTAATCTCGAATATTTAACGCCATAAATTACGGTGAACGGCTTATCTTTTTTGTGTCTTCCTCAAGAATGTCTTTCATAGCGATTTGTAGCGCGTCAGTGCTATTACTGTACTTGAATCGTATTCGAGATATTTCATTAAACGTTCGATCGGACATTCCATTACTTGCGGGGTGTGTGTGTGCGTATGCCGGTGATAAAGTCGTTTCGATATGCAAAAAAAAGGCCGTACGCCGATAATTTTTCTCAGGACGAACTCGTTCTTCGTAGATCCAATCGTACATCGTATCGCACGGACGGGGCCTGGCTGCGGCACCGAGCGGAGGCATACATTGAATGTGGCGTGTATCATCGCTAACAACCAACAGGTTAACCGCGCTAACAGCATCGATAGCACCGCAGAATGCCATAACTCATTCGCGCCGTGGCATGCCAAGGCATGCCAAAGCTTGGGAAAACTGAATCTAATCTCTTGATTAAATTCATACTTCCGCGACGAGATTTCGCATTATCGCGCTTTGATAAACGCAGCCATCCACTCGTGCGAAATTCTGATGAATGATCCGTCACAGTTTAAGAACCGAGAAACTGGCCTAGTTATGAAAGAGAAAACGTATAACGTATGCAAGTGTGGTTTAGGAAGAAAAATAGCTAAATTTATTTTAATTGGAAACTTCATAATTGGCTTTTAGCCTGACAAAATTAAGTAATAAGAATTTTCGAGGTATCTCGTACGACAAAGTGAACGTTACGATTGCGTGTCACAAAATTATTCCCCACCGTCGATCGACGCGATACATTTCGGTGGGCGTCCCGATCGGAGCATCCGTTTCGATAAATCGCGACCGCCGGAATTTCGCAGCGAAAACGTGTCGTATCCAGATATGCGATCTCTTGGCATATCCACGGTGTGTTACGCGAGATGCATCGTGCGCACGTGCATCATCGCTAACGGCCGACTGGTCCAACCGTGAGCTCTAACAGTGCCGATGGTGCTTGGTGCTACAGGACCATGCCATAACGCATCGCATGTAGAACTTGAGAGAATTCCGAGCCACGCTGACCATTACCGCGTCTGCCTTCGTTTCTCGAGCGTGTCTACATGTTCGCGGTAGATCGTACACGTGCGTACACCTGCCGATATGCGGCCTCGCTGTAAACGTTATCCCAGCCGGGCGCGTCCGAGCTCTTACGAACCTCCGTGACCTGTCCGCAATGAGATGCGTGTCACGCGTGCCACCGGCCTGCGCGTGTGCTGGTGCATGGTGTATCGCATTGTCGAGAAATCGCAAACGATTCGGCGGCCTTGTACGTCCCCGAGAGTCTCGCGCATACGTGAGTCATATGTGCATACGCATCTGAAATTTGATCTCCATTCGATCCACCTTGAACGATTGTGAAATGCGAATAGAATAGTTTAATTCCCTACTACTGATAGTCTTCTCTCTAAAAGCCATTATTCAGTGCTACACTTATAGTCGAGTATACAAGTTTCAAGTAGTAATCTAAGATAAGTAGAGAGTTTTCAACTACGTAGTGGCAACTTATTGTTAGTAGAAATGTAATTCCAAAATATGGCTGTCGTTGATACTATGTCGATTTGAAGAAATCTTATTTGACGACTTACTCTCTAAAAGTCAATCAGTGAATTAGTACTGAAAACAGTGAATTGGACTGCGATTTTCAATGGTATACTTACAACTGTAAATCAATGATTATTCACTGTTTTCAGTGATAATCCACTGATTAATTTTTAGACAGTAGAGCATATAAATTTTTTATTTGAAGAAATAGCGTATAATTGATATTAAATGATATTAAATCGTATTAATATTATAATATTATACGTGCCCGTCGCTATTTAATTACTCCGACCACGTTCATCTTCGAATATTCGTGCGCTCTCTCGTTAGGTGGAAGTCAAATCCTTTTTACACGTCTGGGTGCAGCCGCGAATGGACCATTAAAATGTACTACGACGACGATGAGCTTAGCTCACGTCACTTCAGAATATTACGTACATACATATGCACGTATGTAGATACATTTTGAAATATAGAACAAGGTGTCTAACGAGGCGTAAGGTGGGATCTTGGGCCTCGAGCAAAGTCCTCGCGTCATTTCGTGTCCTTCGTCTAGACACCTGTATTTTCGCAGACACCTATTTCGAATCTCATCAACACGAATTCGCGCAAACCCCCTGCGGCAAACCCCAAGTCACAATGCGTTAGGCACACGATGACAATTAGCAATCAGAGATGACGGGATAGACAGAACGAACTTTCTTTTTCGGGCTCAATTATTATACTTTGGCTATCTATCAATCCTTTCACGGTTCATAAAAGACAAACCGCCGGTATAAAATGTACGTTTGTTAAAGGTACAATGCATGCATTGATGAAAAAAAGTAGCCGGACAAAAGCTTCCTACAGCACTTGTGACATTTATGTTCCGTCCGGTGCGTGCGGCAAACAAATATAATGTAAGACAAAGCAAAATAATGCAGCGGAACTGCTGTCGAAGGTACACGGATACTCGCATAAATCGATCGTGCATGGCGAACGGCTGATTCGACGGTGGTTCGCGCGATTCAATCTTCATCTAATATCGACGCTTTACGGTGCACAACTTAACGACTTGTTGCAGTCGTTAATCCAGCTACGGTGCCGGATACCGGCGCGCATAAACGATATTTCAAACGGATCCTCCGTAAGGCGCGGAATGAAAATGTCAAACGCAGCTACGTTACCGTTGACGCGAACGGGAAACAGGAGTCTACGAGCAAAGAGCCCGGGCTGGGAAGTTCTCGTAAACGCAATTTGTACGCAGAGATTCGATATCTCGTGACTGTCATATATGTTCGTCTCGTCCTTTTGTTTCTATTAGGTTGTTCGTCAAATCGTTCAGTAGAAGCTTCGCCAATCGACAAAGCGTAAAATTAAATAAATTGCAAACAAATACGTGAACATAGATGCCAGCTTTCCTCACATTTTACTTTTGGGATCTTATCGCAAGTAACCAGCTACAAGCCAAATATTATTAACAAGTGACGAGCAAAAGAGCCTTCGGTTTTGCTGTGAGCCATCCTCAGTGACGCTACAATGAAATCAAAATAATCTCACGTTCTTTGAGAAATAAGTGAGTAACTTCAAAGATATTTTTCGCCGGAGAACGTGAGATCATTTTGATTTAATTGTTACCACGTTGCTGAAGATGGCTCAGAGTGAAGCCGAAAGTCCGATTTATAATTATGTATCCTGTTAGTTATAGATCGACACACAGATCGTTAACTTACGCACTGTCAGCCGCGTTCAACTCTCAAGCCTCTTTTTACTAGTTATTTGTTAGTTTCGTTATTGAGAGTCCCTTGTTATTTAATCAATTATCCAAATATTAACGTGATGCATTTCTCTAATTTTATTCACAAGTTTTATATTTATACATACATATAATATATAACAGCTACTGTGCAACAAAGTTAAAATATTTTAGTTATACAACATTAATAACATAACTTTGTACATATGTTTTTTTTACGAATAGTAAAATATGCAAACGTTAACGGCAAAAGATAATAAAAACGGGGAAACTTTTCTCTAACACTCGTTTGTCACCATATGTCTTTATTGACTATCGAGAAAATAATAGAAATATATGTGCGCTGCAAATTACTGCCTTTTACTATTTGCCGCATGATAATGAGAAAACTGTCGTCCCACATCGCAGCTTTATCTTTTGTTAGCAGAATATCTTTCTCTCACGGTATGTGTATGTACATTTAATACACAATCGGCCACTGACGACCACGCGAGACGTCATGCCGCACGCATCATGTCCGCGAGAATGTACCTAGATTCGTGTAGAACAAACGCTCGTAAAAATAGCGAGGAGCCGCGGATTGAATTGAAACAGAATCGATACATTGTGTGATTTTCCGTATCCGCATAGTGCCTCCTTCCTAACCGGTATCGGGCGATTTATCAGGGCGGATCGGGGGAAACAAATGCGGAGCTTAGGAGCCGGCCGCTACGTCCGCGCTTTGTTGCATGTAAAAGTAAACGTATTACCATGCGTACACGTTGATGCGTGCCTTATCTTTTATCTCAAGAGCTTCGCTTCCGGCCCGATAGAATATTCAACGAGGGCGACATCGTATCGATGTATGCGCGCTGCAAACCAAATATTCCTTTCCGTCAATGTTCACGCGCGCGGCCAGCGTGGCCATAATCGGATCAGTCGAACAGGAAACAG